CATCCACAGTTCTGTATTGGTTCTGATGGACTTTCCCCAGCCACTTCTATTGTATTCAGTACTTTAGGATGGTTCTGTAAACAGATGAAGTTAATAATGCTCTACAGGTTCCAACTGGAAGAAAGTATGGTTAATTCAGGTTACTAAGAGCAGAAAGTAATTCGAATCAATTGGTAAATTAAAAAACAGTTAAAGACAGCGCTCTGGCCTCAGAATCAGACCTTCAGGCATTTGGATCTGGCTAGAAAGCCCATGAAAGTATTTCAGGCATGGAAAGCCAAGACACTGTGGCAAAAGAATAAAGTGACCTAAATGAAAGATCTCTGTGAGTGAGATCCCAGCGGAAAGTACGGGCCATCAAAGAAGGAGGTACCTTTCTCTGAAGGGAGGAGAGAACTTCCACTTTGACCATGGCCTTATCTAAATAAGATCGGAGTTGGCAAACTCAAGAGGCTTCCATAGCCTTGGCAGCTCATCACAAGAGCCTTGGGTGATTACTGATGTCATAAATAAGAGTGTCAATTGTTAAATCAACAACAGGAGTCACTGTGCATTTACTCCCCATGTAGGATCTCTGTCCTTAATGTGTTGTACTATGAAAATTAATGGTAAAATGAGTCTTCAAACAGTACTTTATATTTTGTGTTTCTGTGTGGGTACAAACTGTTGAAATCTTTACTTAGTATATACTAAGTTGATCTTCTGTATATAAAGAGAATTGAAAATGAATCTTGATATGAATGGTATGGGAGAGGGAGTGGGAGATGGGAGGGTTGCAGGTGGAAGGGAGGTTATGAGAGGAAAACGCTGCTATAATCCAAAAGCTGTACTTTGGAAATTTATATTTATTAAATAAAAGTTAAAAAAACAGTTAAGGAGTTCAAGAAGCTATTACTGAAGCTGCTTTATTGTTCTATCTTTTATGTTATGTTATATGTGTATACATATTGTATGTCTACATGAGAAAATTTATTAAGAGCTTTGTTTTAGTTGGCCTATAGATAAAAGATTGCTCATCAATTTAAAGAGCTGAAATTAATCAAAGATACATTTTGATTCATGTGACCTGAATTTCTGTATTAGATGTTTTAAAATTTGTTGGTAGAAAGAAACTAAAAAACTTTTTATATGTTTTCTCTGATTTGTGGTGTCTAATATATGGGATACCAAAAAAACATATAAGTGAAATTGACATTTTGAGATTTGATTATTGTTTGTAGCCACTGGCTAAACTTCTGAGGAACAGTGGTTTTTCTACTTACTGCTTGTTGAATTCTTTATTTAGTAGAGATTCTTTATTTAGCTTGTGATTATAAAGAAAATTGGAAGTACAGAATTGTAAAAACTAAATAAAAATAAGAAAAGGAGGAGGAAGGGTGGAAGTGAGTGAGAGAGGTTAGGGTGGGAAGTATCATTATGCTCTTAAAACTGTATATATGAAATACATGAATTTGTTCCACTTATAGAAATAAAGCAGTGAAAAAAGAAAAGCAAGCAAAATAATGCAAACAATCAGATCAGTGATGCAGAAACTGAGCCAAACACAAGTTTTCAGTGGATTTTTTGACGTGGGTACCAAAGCATCCTATGCTGAAGCACAGGGGAATGAGGCTATGACCACTGTCTAGCTATTATGGGAATGAGGCTAGGACCATTGGCTAGCTAATATGGGAATGAGGCTTGGACCATTAGCTAGCTAATATGGGAAGAAAATGAACCCCAACCAATATCTCCCAACAAAGGCAGGTTTACAGATGATGTAACCATGAGTAAAATCCAAGCTATTAGGTTCAAGAAGAAAAGATAGATGGATTTGCGGTAAACTTGGAGTAGTCAAGAGTTCTGGTAGAGGTCACAGAAAGCACTAACCCTCAGATTTAGCTAGCATTTACCTGTGCTGACTGATCCAAGAAGTTGACTCACAGTTAAAAATTATCTTTCTCACCCAATCACACTAAAAATTTTGCTAAGAATTCTTTTTTTTAAAGATATATTTATTTGAAAGTCAGAGTTACACAGAGAGAGGAGAGGCAGAAAGAGATGTCTTCCATCCGCTGGCTCACTCCCCACTTGGCCACAGTGGCTGGAGCTTCACTGATCTGAAGCCAGGAGCCAGGAACTTCTTCCAGGTCTCCCATGTGGGTGCAGGTGCCCAAGGGCTTGGGCCATCTTCCACTGCTTTCCCATGCCACAGCAGAGAGCTGGACTGGAAGTGCAGCAGCCGGGTCTTGAACCGGCATCCATATGGGATGTCGGCACTTCAGGCCAGGGTGTTAACCCACTGTGCCCGCAGTACCAGCCCCAAGAATTCTTCTTAATGTGATGTAGTAGCCCAGACCAGCAGAGGCAGCAGTGCAGCATGCACTCTCTCCTGCCTGCCTTCTATCCACCCTTCCTTCTCCCCTTTATGCTTTTCTTCTTCCTCTGCCTGATCGTGGGGCCCCCTTGCCTTCCTGTCTCTGGCCTTCCTGCCATTCCTCTTCCTTTTCACTCCCCCTTCCCTTATTCTCATCCCCATCACCTCAAGCCTGCAGTTTTTGACTGTCACCCTCATTCAGTGACTAAAGATGACCAAAGTCTAACTCCCAAGAACACTGCTCAACATGGACATTGGTGTGACTGAAGGTGGATTCAATGTCACTCTCACCATCTGATTGGTATGCATGGCAAGGAAGTTGGCAGTAGGGTTGGAAAGAAAGGAGAACTTGTTAAGAAGAAGTGCAAGGAGAGTGGTGCACACATCAACATCTCAGAAGGGAACTGTCCTGAGAGAATTATCATTTTGGCTGGACTCACTACTGCTATTTTCTTTCTTTCTTTCTTTCTTTCTTTCTTTCTTTCTTTCTTTCTTTCTTTCTTTCTTTCTTTCTTTCTTTCTTTCTTTTTTTGACAGGCAGAGTGGACAGTGAGAGAGAGACAGAGAGAAAGGTCTTCCTTTGCCGTTGGTTCACCCTCCAATGGTCGCCGCGGCCGGCGCGCTGCAGCAGGCGTACCGCGCTGATCCGATGGCAGGAGCCAGGTACTTCTCCTGGTCTCCCATGGGTTGCAGGGCCCAAGTACCTGGGCCATCCTCCACTGCACTCCTTGGCCACAGCAGAGAGCTGGCCTGGAAGAGGGGCAACCGGGACAGAATCCGGTGCCCCGACCGGGACTAGAACCCGGTGTGCCGGCGCCGCTAGGCGGAGGATTAGCCTGTTGAGCCACGGTGCCGGCTGTTACTGCCATTTTCAAAGCCTTTTCTATAATTATTGACAAACTGGAAGACACGAATAGCTCTATGATCAATAGCACAGCTGCCAGTAAACCTCAGGGTTCCCTGAGACTGGTGGTCCTTGCTTGTCATTGTGGCTCTCTCATTGGAAAAGATGATTGCAAGACCAGGAAATCTGAGAGAGTATAGGGACTCAAGTGCAGATGGCAAGGGATAAGCTTCCCAACTCAACTGAGGGGCATCACTCTTGCTGGCGTTACATAGTCCAGCATTGAGAGTGTCAAGCAGATCTGCATGGTCACGTTGGATTCCCTGTCAAGGGTGGGACCATCCCATTCCAGTCCAAGTCACCAGTTCTCTGGCCATCTGCAATTGTCAGGACAGGTATAGCTCAGGCAGTGACAATGTGAGCTTTCCCTATGCCACCCAGTCCATGTACCTTAACCCTGACCTGGAGGAACCACCCCTAGAGGCCTATACCATTAAAGGACCATAGGCCATTCCACAGCCAGATTTGATCAAGCTGCAGGTAGTCAGCAATGCAACAGTTGCATTTTACCATCATGCATGGCATCTCCAGATTCATTGCAGGTCTGGATGCATTTGCTCAAACTGCTTCTCATGAACGCACCATTCCAAATGATTTGATTGCCTACTTAACCGAGTGTCAAGGTACCAAAATTAGTCATCTCTGTCAGATGTCTGGATCTATTGAGAAGCAAAATACTGGATCTGGTGCCAGCATTAGCTTGGCTCAGTTGTCAGACTTTCCTTTTGAGTTGAGTGGCATGGGGAGCTGCAGGACCAATGCAGATTCATCCATATCCCCTTCTTGCTGTTCACCACCACCCACCACCCTCTGTGTAGTTTACAAAAGTTATCAATTCTAGGTTAAAATAGTTATAAATCTCCAGTTTCCATTCACTTTATTGTCAACCTGTGAGTTTTTAATTAAGGCATTTTAATTCTTTTAAAAATATGGCATAGTATTTAAAAATTCATCTCAAATAATGTAGATGTAAATATTGCCAAGAGCACACTGAAAAGGAAGAATAAGAAGGGAGAACTTTTGAACTGAAATGGGTATTAAAATAGTGTATATTTTATAGATAAAAAAGTTAAAGTAGTGGAGTACTGATGCACGAAGCAGACTATGCAATGGAACAGAGTAAAAAGCCTAGAAACAAACAAAACAAAACAATAATCTAAGAACTTGATATAAAATAAAGTGTCATTCTAACCTAGTGCTAAATAATGAAATGCATGCAACAAGTGAATAACCATTTTAAAAGAAATCCTAAGCATTACATCATGCTCCATAATAAAGGATTGACTGGAGATTCAACTGGAGAAAATAACAGAAAAAAATGAAAATGTAAGTAATCTAAACTGTGGTTTATCTTCAGTGTACGCTTGTTGGATACCCTGTTATATGTACTAACCAATGTAAATGTACTCACCAATGTAAATGTAAGTAAAATGAAAAGTAAAATGTAAATAAGTGAAAAGTAAATGTAATCTGGGCCAAAGAAGAAAGGTAGAAGTCATTTTCTTCTGGAAAATGTGCATTGGTTTCTCCTCATGAGCTTATATTTGATGAGAAACATGGCCATACTCTTGAAATCACGAAAATAACCTTTTGTAGTTGCATTTGCTAGATTCCTAAGGAGACCAGCTGGAGCCCAGAGGAGTTTAGAGATTGGAAACTTCAGAATCCTAATGTTTCACTCTACCAATAGCCTCAGTTGAGCGTAACAGTTGCTTCCCTACAGGCAAAGGTCTCTCCTTCGCTCACTCGCTCCTAACTCGACCCCTCAACATCCTATTTGGGACGCCAGGGCCTAGCACATGCGCTGGACGTCCAAGGCCCACAAGCCTTGTGCCCGCGCAGCTGCGCAGCGCGTTGAGGGGTTCTTGTGTTTAACGGGTTCCTTCGCTGCCGTTACAGAGACGTTGGGACGAGACGGGCGGTGAATAGCCCACATAGCCCTCTGTAGCCTCCGCAATGAAAAGTATTTTCACCTGGGCGGGTAAGAAGCACAGGTGGCTCTTGAGGGGCTCCGTCGGATGTGAAAATAGTTTAGGGCTTCAGTCCCAGTTGGGCTATCACATCCGAGACAAGGATCTCGGGCAGATCCACAAAGCCGCTTGCGCTGGCGACGTAGCCAGGGTGCAGCAGCTGCTGGCGCTGGGGAAGAGCAGAGTAAACGCCAGGGACAAGAAGAACAGGTAAGGAGACGCGCAGCCGGGCCGGGCCCCTGGGTGCCCACCGTCTTTCCGAGCGACGGAAGCAAAATCAGAACTTGAGATGGTGTTGCGGCCGCTGCTGCTTCCCCGAGAGTTGTACTGGCCATTTACAGCGATGTAACGAACAGAATTAACTCCAGATCTCGGTTTATCTTCAGTGTACTCCTGTCCGATACCCCGTTGTATGCAAAACCAAAACCAAACCAAAACAAGCAAAAAAACTAAACAAAAAACCCCCGAGAATTTAAAAGTTTTGAGTTACACACATGCCTCCTACTTAATGTTGTGATAATACCAGCTTGTAGTGAACAAAGATGTGTCTTTCTAGGTACAAAAATATGGTATTAACTTCCAGAAATTAATCATTTACTGATAGTTGAAAGAACAAATAAATGAGTGGAACTGAGTAAGGTATCCGGAAACACCAAAATGTATGAGGATTTACAACTTGATTCTGTATGTATGTGTTTCTGGATTGGCATATTCTTTATAATATATTTATTTAAAATTAATTGCATAAAGGAAACAGATTTCATGTTTTTGTATATGCAGCTTTATGAACATAATGATATTTCCCACTCTACTCTCCCTCTCCCCCTTGCTCATACCTTCCTTCATCCTTTTCTAATTTTCTTTAATTTTTGCCACGACATACTTTGAATTTAATTTATAATCACAAGCTTAACCCTCCACTAAATAAGGAATTTGACAAGTAGTAAGTAGAAAAACCACTGTTTCTCAGGAGTATAGTCAAGGGCTGTAAACAATAATCAAATCTCAAAATGTCAGTTTCACTTACATCTTTTGTTTGTATTCTGTACATTAGATACAACAAATCAGAAAACATATGATATCTTTTTGGTAGTGGCTTATTTCTCTAAGCAGTTGTATCAATTTTGTTGCAAAAGGTAGGATTTCTTATATTTTTATGGCTGAGTAGTATTTCATCATATACATATACCACATTTTCTTTATCCGTTCTTCAGTTGATAAACATCTGTGTTGATTCTATATCTCTGCTATTGTGAGTTGAGCTGCTCTAAACACGGGGGATTACTGATAACATTCCAAAGAGTAGAATGGCTGAGCCATATAGTAGATCTATTTTCAGATTTCAGAAGCATCTCCATACTGTCTTTCATAATGTTTATACTAGTTTATATTCCCAACAGTGTATTAGGGTATGCTTTTCTGCACATCCTCACCAGCATTTGTTATGTTTTGATTTTTGGATGATATCCATTCTAACTGAGGTGGGGTGAAACCTCATTGTGGTTTTTATTTGCATTTCCCTGATGGAGAGTGATCCTGAGCATCTTTTCAGTATCTGTTGGCCATTTGTATTTCAATCTTTGGAAAATGCCTGTTCATATCCTTAGCCCATTCCTTAACTGGATTGTTTTCTTTGTTGTGTTTGAGTTTCTTGGGCTCCTTTTCTATATATTTTGAATATTAATCCTTTGTCAGATGTATAGACTGCAAATATTTCCCCTGTTCTGTTGGTTGCCTCTTTGTTGCATGTTTCTTATTGGTGTGCTGAAGCTTCTTAGCTTGATATAATTACATTGGTGTGGTTTTTGCTTTTACTGCATGTGCTCCTGGAGTGTTATCCAAGACATCCTTACCTATCCCAACATCTTGCAGTGGTTACCTTGTGTTTTCTTCTAGTAATTTGATGGTTTCAGGGCTTAGGTTTAGATCTTTGATTCGTTGTGTGTTGATTTTTGTCTAGGGTATAAGATAGGGGTTCTGTTTTATACTTCTGCATGTGGAGATTCAGTTTTCCCAAAACCATTTCTTGAGAGACTGTTCTTTCTCCAGGGAGTGATTTTAGCTCATTTGTCAAAGATTATTTTTTTGTAGATGCATAGATTAATTTCTAGGGTCTCTAATTTGTTCCGTGGATCTACATGTCTATAATTGTCCTGGTACCAGACTGTCTTGATTCTAACTGCCCTATAATATGTCTTGAAATCAGGTGTTGTGATGCCTCCTGCTTTTTTTTTTTTTAAAGAATTATTTATTTTATTTAAAAGTCAGAGTTACATAGAGAGAGAAGGAGAGGCAGAAAAAGAGAGAGAGAGAGAGAGAGAGGTCTTCCATCTGCTGTTTCACTCCCCAATTGGCCGGAGTTATGCTGATCTGAAGGCAGGAGCCAGGAGCTTCTTCCTGATCTCCCACATGGGTCTCCAAGGACTTGGGACATCTTGTACTGCTTTCCCAGGCCATAGCAGAGAGCTGGATCAGAAGTGGAGCAGCCAGGACATGAATTGGCAGCCATATGAGATGCTGGCACTGCAGGTGGCGGCTTTACTCACTATTCCACAGCGCTGGTCCCTCTTACTTTGTTTTTATTATTTTATATTGCTTTAGCTTTTCGGGGTCACTTGTGATTCATATGAATTTTAGGGTAGTTTTTGTCTAGATCTGATGAGAATATCTTTGGTAAGTTGATTGGGATTGCATTGAATCTGAATTGCTTTGGATGCTATGGACATTTTAATGGTATTCTTCCAATCATCAGTATGGAAGACTTTTCCATTTTTTGTGTCTTTTATTTCTCTCCTTATTCCTTTGTAATTTTCATTGTAGAGACCTTTCACATCCCTGGTTAAATTTATCCCAAATTATTTGAATATTTTTAGTAGCTATTGTGAATAGACTGATCTTCTTTCTCAGTGAAGGCATTGTTTGTATGTACAAACAATGATTTTTATGTGTTGATTTTATATCCTGAAACTTTGCCAAACTCTCTTCTGAGATCTAATAATCTCTGAGTTGCAGACTTTCAGTTCCCTTCTATATATATATATATCATGTCATCTACAAACAGGGATAATTTAATTTCCTCTTTTCCCATTTGTATCCCTTTGATTTGCATTTCTTGTCTAGTGGCTCTGGCAAAAGCTTCCAGACCTATATTGAACAGTAATGGTGAAAATGGACAGCCTTGTCTGGTTTCAGATCTTAGTGGAAATACTTCCAGCTTTTCCACATTCAAAATGATGCTGGCTATGGGTTTGTCATAGATTTCCTTGATTGTGTTGAGGCATGTTCCTTTTATACTCAATTTGCTTAAGGTTTTAATCATGAAAAAATGATGTATTTTTTCAAATGCTTTCTCTACATCTATTGAGATAATTATATTTTTATTCTTCAGTTTGTTAAAGTGATGTATCACATTTATGAATTTGCATATGTTAAGATTTCTCTGCATCCCAGGAATATAAATTACTTGGTCCAATTGGATGATCTTTTTATGTGTTGTTGGATTCTATTAGCTAACATTTTGTTGATGATTTTTACATCTATGTTCATCAGAGGTATTGGTCTCTAGTTCTCTTTCTTTGTTGGATCTATTTCTGATTTTAAAATTAAGGTGAAACTGAATCTGTTGCCATAGGAGTTTTATGGGATTCCGTACCTTTCAGTAGTTTTGTATAGGTCAAGAAGAGTTGGAGAGGATTTCCAGAAGGAAGAATAGTGAAAGGATGTATTGCTTTAGGCTAAGGGAAAATAATACCAAAAAGAGAGGAGGAAACGCATTCCCTGGGGAGACTTGGAGAGAAATCTGCAGTGGAAATTCCACAGAAGGAAGAGGGACACTGGAGGCTGTGGGTTTGCAGCAACAAGCGCAGACACAACACTCAATCACCACAGCTAAAAGCTGAATGAAGCACCAGCTCTGGAGAATGAGACATTAGAGATGTAGCACGTCCAACTTGTGTGTCACCATGGATACTTGCCCCAGCACTGACCAGAGCTCCCAGGCCACATCCAGCACATACCAATGGGTATTCATTGATAGGGCAGACACTCCACTAAGAAACAGAGGCATAGTTCAAAGATAAAAATGACCAGAGGAGAAAACCAATAAGCATTTCCACAAATGCCTAAACTAAACACAGAAATTCAATAAGCAGGAATAAGGAGGACAAAATAACTCCCCCAAAGGAGCACAACAAAACTTCAGTATTAGAATCTGGAGGTGAAGAGGTTGATGAAATTCCTGAAAAAGAATTGAAAAGATTAAAGATTAATCATAGGATTACTCAGAAGCAGTGAGAAGCAAATTCACAAGTTAAAGAAATCCATACATTACATGGAAGAGAATTGTTACCGTGAGATTGAGATATTGAAGAGAAATCAAACTGAAATATTAGAAATGAAGAATTCAATATGTCAAAAATACAGTAGAAATCCTTAACTATAGACTTGGTGAGGAATAAGAAAGAATATCAGAGCTATATGGCAAATTTCTGGAAATTTCTCAGATCAAAAAAAAAAAAAAAGAAATTAGAAAAATTAAAAAACAGTGGTGGAGATTTATAGGATACTATCAGATGACCCAACATATGTGATTTAGGAGTTCCTGAAGGTGGGGAAATAGAGAATGGATTAGAAGGCCTATTCAGTACAGAATACTTCCCTAATTTGAAGAAAGGAATGTCCAAGTACATGAGGCACATATAACTACTAATAGATGTGACCAGGAAAGATCTTAATCATGATGCATTGTGGTCAAACTTTCAGTAGTAAAACATAAAGAAAAGATTCTACAATATGCATGAAAGGAATGCCAGATTATCAGATTACTTTCAGAGGATCTCCAGTTAGACTTACAGCTTACTGCTAGTCAGAAATCTCACAGATTAGGAGAGAATGGAAAAACACTGTCCAAGGCTGTATACTGTATACTGTATACTGCAAAGTTCTCATTTATGAATGAAGGTGAAATAAAGACCTTCCTCAGTTCCCTTCTATATATATCATCTTGTACTGGAGAGAATTTTTCACTTCTCTGGCCTTATAAAAGATGCTTAAAGGTGTGCTGCACACAGAAACACAGAAAGATAGTCATAATTGAAAGAATGTGAAGGCAGAAAACCTCTCAGCAAAGTACAAAGGAAATCCAAAGCAAGCAATAGGAATATTAATGAAAAATGGCTAAGATAATTTTTCAGTTATCAATAGAATAGAAT